ATCACTGGACAAGATATTCTCTGTATGTGTCCATTTCCCCATGTGGAGACAGTATAACCCACCACAGGAGAAGGCCAAGAACTATTCATCTCATCATCATTTACTTATTTTTTACTGCAATACCTTACTTCCTCTACCCATATCAGAGACTTTCATACCTTCTGTTTTCTACCTACTGTCTAACAGTGGATCTGTGAGTTTCTCTCAATGCCTGTGAAGCTCATTCTCTCACCTTAATTCCCAGTGCAAGAATCTTCCCCAGCAAGCCTTACTTCCTAAGCAGAAGATAGCACCATTTCCAAAAGGACCCTCTTGCCCACCCCCTTCTGAATCCCACCCTGCATATACACATATACACATCCCTATACACACATTAACTAGAAGCCTCCATAAAATCTGACTTACACCAAGCTAAAATTAAATAGATCATAAACTCCTTCTGGATGTTTTAATCTCTTGGCAAACTTTCCTACCAATCCAGACATTAGTGCACTCACTCGTGTGTGTGTGTGTGTGTGTGTGTGTGTGTGTGTGTGTGTGTGTGTTGGGGGGGGTGTCAATCAAGTTCTTCTGTACAATGTAGTTTCTTAACTCAAAACTAATCATGTGGGTTTCTAGATTGTTCTCAGTATGCACCACCTTAACAAACTTCTCAAGTTGCTAATAAAACACCTAGCTTGGGAGACAGGGGAGGGGAAGGGAGGGCAAAGGAGGGGAGGGAAGGGAGCGAGGGGGAGGGAGGGAGAGAGAAAGGGAGAGGGAGAGAGGAAGAGAGGGAGAGAGGGAGAAGAGAGAGGGAGGGAGAAGGAGAGCGAGAGGGAGAGGGAGAGAAAATGTTAAGGAACCTGCTTGCCTTGCTCACCTCAATTCTATCCTAGCACTACATATGTCCCCCCAAACACTGCCAAGAGCAACCCCTGAGCACCTAGCAAGGAATAAGATCTGAGCACCACCAGGTGCGGCTCCTAAATAAAAAAGTAAAACCCACCCAGCTGCTCCCTCTTCTTGGAGCTCTGAGACGTCAGTCTCATTTTGCCACCACTCCGAAAAGGTGGCTGCACCCATCAGTCGCTCCATACCTTACTCCCCGCCACCAATTTCCCCCTTCACACACACTTTATTAACAAGACAAGACTAGTCTTGGTCCGCTGGTCAGTTCCTGAGGGAAGGAACCTAATCATTTTTGTTCCCTGCTATAATTTCAGCCCCTAGAAGTGTCCAACACTTAAAACACTAAGTAACAGGATATTCAGTCATCCACTAACAATTTCTGTGACCCCTAAGATACCTCAGAATATTCTGTTTGTCACGCCTTCAAATGCCCCCATCCTGCCACTCTGTCCAGACTGGTCCCCAACCATTCCAACCCCGAATTCCATAATTCCTTTGCTCAACTTTAGTAGCCCTTCTGTCTACAATTAGTTCAGCACTTCAAAAAAAGAAAAAAAACCTGCCTCAGATTGTTATCTGGCATATGCATCTCTTACTTCCTTAAACTGGCTCTAAATTTTGATAGGCTTCTGGTTCTGTATCACTGGAGACACTGGTGGAGGGAATTAATACTGGTGATGTTGGAACATTAAGAACTTTATAAAACATGTTACCTTAAAAATAAAAAAAGGACCCAATTTTTCAGTCCTCTCATTATGCCCATTTGTATAAAGTCACTATTGTTTAGTTAAAAACTTCAGGTGACATTCAGAGTCGAGAGAGAGCAGGGCAACAACACATTCCACTATTATAATACATATTTAGAATGGGTATTTGCCAACATTCATTTTTTTATTGCCAACAAGCAGATTTAATCCCTCTGAGAAGCAAATAGGAGGCAGAGATGGGAAAGAGCACAAATACCTATAAGTGTGGTCTTTATGTTACTTCACAGATAATAATCTTCTTATGGTTCATATTCTAAAAACCTGATTTAATACTAACATGCCCCACTCCCCATCTTAAATATATAACCTGTCCCATGCAAGTAACTTCTGTCCAATCTCATTATAGGGACTGCTCTAACATGTAATACATTAAGCTGAATCACAAAAGTTGAGTTCTTATTTCTATTCCAGTTGGAAATATCTAATGTGTGTACATATTTGGCCCACGGCAAAACTTCATGCTCTCTGGGCAGATACAATATGAACTGTGTTCTTGGAGCACTGTGTTCTTTTCCTCTACTATAGACTTAGGTACGAATCTTTGTCAATCAATGAATACATACTGAGGGTTTATTATAAGCCAACTAGTTACTGATCAGCAACTTAGTCTTTATTCTTAAATCTCCCCCAAACTACGGGCACCAGAAGCCACACTGCTTCCTTTTTGTTCACTATCATTATCAGACAACCTAGCAGCATGCCTGGCATAAGGTAGCAGTTTAACAAACATTAGTTTGAAGAACGAATGAGTGAAAGAAAAAAGCAGCAGCCACACTGCATGTAAAGGAATCAAGGTTTTTCACTACCCAGAACATCCTTCCAAAACCCTACCAGCAATTTGCTTAACTCTGAAAGGCACCACATGCAACGCACAGCTGTAGGCTGAACAGCTGTCATGCAAAGGAGCCACGGTACAGAACTATTAAGAATTCTGTCCTTTGTTTCTCTTTGCCTGTCTCACTAAAATGAAGGTGGGTCCACTGTCAACTTACCTGTGAACTGCAGTCTTCAACATCTGGCTTTCAGAAATGCTAAATTAAACTGCTACTGAAAACAATTTATATTGATTGACTCTTATGACATCACTACCTGAATAGATCTGTAAACATCTGAGGTAATATATGAGACCTAAAAAGTTTTAGGTTAACATAAAAAAGTCTTCAATTTCAAATCCTGCAAGCTATGAACTACTTTCAGACTTAACTTAAAAACAAAAAAAGAAGTTTGACTCATTATTTAAACATTTCTAGACTTTAGGTCATAAAAAGCAAATAACGCACTAAACCAGTAAGCTGTTCAAAACAGGGCTCCAAGAGTGAGCTTCATGCAAGAATTTTAATTAAAACCTAAGATTCATTCAAAGGGCCCTATGCTGCCCAAAGTAGTTATAAAAATAATACAAACTACAAACTACTTAACTCAATATAAAAGCCTAGCAATCTAGGCAGTTATAAAAGATCTGTAACTTCTTCTGCATGCACGTATCACACTGAGAAGACCAAAAAAATGCATGTGTTCTTCTCCACACCCAATTCACAAATAGAAAAGAAATTAAAGAAATAAAAGCAAAAGATAATGAAATCTTCTAAACTTGCATAGTAAAGTGTGCCAATAGTCTTGAAAGTGAAGATGGTTTTGAGCTACGAATCTATTTAAATACGTTATTTTGCTAAATGGCAAAGATTTCTTTCCACAACTTCGAAAGAAAAGATGGTGACATTGGTTATAAACGAAACAAACAGTAAATAAAGCAGTAAGTTCGACTACACGTGAAATCAAAATAAAGACATGAAAATTCGTATTCACTAGCAAAGCTTTCACAGGTCCACAGCTGCTATAAAAATCAAGCACAATAATCGGAGAACACAGGTTTCCTCCGGGGGCTAAGAACCTGTTCTGGAAGAGCCAACTATTTTTGCTCCACTGTGAATCACAAAGCAAATGTCACCTAAAAAACCGTGAGCGACCTTCTCGCCTGCGTTTAAAATATCTTCACCTACTTCCGAAAATCAAGTTTACTCTACCATCTTATTTACAGCATTACAGTGAGTCTAACTTCACGAGTCGCCCACCAAGTTCCGAGAAGTGGAGGTAATCGTTAGCTCAAACGGCCACAAAAGGAAAAAAAAATAAAAATAAAAACCCGTCTGGCGGGCATGCAAAGATGAAATGAAAGGGACATAAAAACAAAAGGGATGTATATTAACAAGAAACCGCCGGCCCGTGCGTTGGCATGCATTCAAACCGGGCGCCGCGAAAGCTGCACGCAATTCACGGCCGAGGCGCCATCGCGGGCAACCTGTCAGTAGTAGGCCGGCTGCAGGGAGCGCAAGCCGGCCCGCCCAGAAATGCTCTCCTCCCGCTCCCAGGCGCGGCCACGCTCCACCTTTGTGTGCTTAAACATCACTCCACGAAACTCGCGGAGTTGGGTCGCAGGAGGCACCGCCGATCGCCCCCCCCCCCCCCCCCCCGCGACTCTCGGTTCTGCGAGCGGCCTCCTTTCGGGACGGTCTCGGGCGTGCAGAAGACCTTCGGCCGCCGCCGCCGCCCGCCCGCCGGCTCCCCAGCCGGCAGCCGAGTGTTGCAATCGGGCCGGCGCGGCCCGCGGCGCGGCGCGGCGTGGCGTGGAGGAGTGGCGGGGCGGCAGCGCCCGGCCCGGGCCTCACAGGGCGGGGCGGCCACGCCGCGCCGCGCTGCGCTCGGGCCCGCGTGCGGCCGAGTGGCGTGGCACGGCCCGGGGGCGCGGGACGCGGGGCGCCGGCGGGCGGGGAGTTGTCAGTCCGTCAGCTCAGCCCGCCAGGCCCGACGCTTGCCCGCCCCGGCAGTCGGGCGCGGGGCGGGAGCCCACCTCCCCGCCGCGCCGCGCCCCCTCGACCCTCCCGGCACCGGGCAGCCCGGACTCGAGAACGCCGAATCTGCACCCTGGGAATGTCACTCGGCCCGTCCACGGCGTGACGCGTTCGGGGAGGCGAGGCGCGCCGAGACCCGGCTGAGCGCGGCTCCGGACCGACTGCGCCGACTTACCGCTGCTCCCGCCCCGAGTCCAGCTATTTCCGACGTGCGCCGAGCGAAGTGACAACTGGTCCCGGCCGAGCCCGCCGGCGCTCGCGCGGGCCGTCACTTTCTGGCGGCGGCGTCTCGGCCCCAAGTTCCGAGGCGCCGAGCGCGGCGTCCGGCGCCGTGATTCAGCAGCGGGCCGGGGAGGGAGGGGGGGTGTGGGGGGGTCGGATCGCGGGGCCCGAGCCGAGTCCGGAAAAGGTCACCAGGAGCCGCGGGCGCCGGCCCGGTCCCGCGGCGCGGCGCGGCCGGGTTGGCCTCGAGAAGGCGACGGCGAGCTCCTACCTTTCCGGCTTTTAGGCGAGCTCCGCTTGCTCCGGGCGCTGGCTCGCTCTTCCTCAATCGCAGCTGCTATCTCGGGGTTGTCTTCCCCATTGTACCAGACCAAGAGCTCCTCGCCCGGCGCGATTGGCTGTGAGGAGAGAAGAGACAAGCGCCGGGCCAATCAGAGCCGCGGTTGTTGGCGGGGCGGGGGCGGGGCGGGGCGCGGGCGGCGGGCGGCGCTCGCAGCTGGGGCGGTGCGCCCGCGGCCAGCCCGGCAGGAAGGGGCTCCTCAGCCCCGGCGGCCGCGGGCGGGCCGGCGGGCGGACCGGCGGCCGTGCGGGCCGGGCGCGCGGGAACGGGGGACCCTCTGCTGGAGGAAGGACCTTACTTCCCCACCGTCGCCTCTTCCCCGGGGTGCGCAAGCGGCAAAAGTGCGGCGCCGCCGAGGAGCCCATTGGTTTTAAACTCAAAACTGCCGTACGCTGCCAAATCGTACTGCTGAAAGCCTCACGACTGCCCACGCAAAAGGGGGGGTGGGGTGGGGGAAGGAACCATTTTGCCCATAAAATCTGAGCCGATGAGAAACTTAAGGCATAATTCAAAAGAATCTGGCAGCTTGGAAGGAGAAGTGCTAAACGCTAATTAATTGCCAGCGCATGTTTCAGATTCCAAGAGCGAATTAAAGTGCGTAAGGGAGAAGGGCAGGCCAGTCGCATTTATAAATGCACCGCTAATTACGTCCCGGAAATGCTAGCGGCTGGGAGGGGAGGGGGACCAAGGACCGAAGCGTTAATAAAGGCTCCGCCACCGCCACCGACCTGATGGCTCCAGGGAGCCCAGTGCCTTCCCTACACAACAGACGTGGAGTTTACATGACGAAGCTTACATTTAGGAGGAAGTGCATCAAAGCACCTCACACCTAAGGAGTAAGGAAAAATACCACCACCATACTGGTTACACCTAAACCAAGGTCCTAAAGACCAGAGACGTTACTTCGGATTCTTGATCGAATTTCTCTCACAATGACTCAACTGTTTATAATATTCCAAGAATATAGGCGCAAGTAAAAACCCACCCGAACCCCCTGAAGAATTTAAAAAAAATCCATGAGTCCATAGTAATAAAAATAAATGAATAAACAATTAAGAATGCTCTTCTTTAAAGGATATCTCAACAAGTCGTTTTTTTTAAAAAAAAAAAAGAAATTAGACAATCTCTAGGAGACAAGCATCACAGTAACAATTAATTAAAGCCAGGTAGGTGAAAATGAGGAGAAAAAAATACAGTCTCGAAACAACTATGAAATATTTATTACAAAGGAAAAAATCTATAAAGGACAAATCAATATCATCATGTGCTTGATGATATGAAGCACAGAAAAGAACAAAACATCACTTCTGGAGATTTCTGTCCAAAATGCAAGATAAAACTTAGCAGTACAAGAGAAGTCCAAACTGTGAGACAGTCTACAAAGTACTTGATCAACTTTGAAAGACAATAAAAAACAAAGACTGAAGTGCTGTCCAAATTAAGGAATACAACTGAGTTTCCTTAGAAGGACATGATTGGAACAACTGACAAAAAGTAAGGTACACAGATTAGATAATAGGACATCTTGCCTGTATTAGTGATTTTTGGTCATTGCACCATGATTATAAGAGAAAGTTATCTGGGATTCTTTTGGGGAAATGGAATTACTTCTAAGATATGAGTTTAACAACAAAGTTTACTTTAATATACCTTCTAGTGAACATCTAGTCCTTAAAAGTAAATATTTTCATTTCTACAAAACTCTTGCTATTAAAATATTCTAAATTCTTTAAGATGAAAGAAGCTACTGTTGCCTCGGCTTCCCAGAGATAACTAAAACCTGTCATTTTGTTTGAACCAAAGCATGACTTCTTGAATCACTTTTACTTTAATAAAAAAAATTTTTTTAGACTTTTTTTTGGGGGGGTGGGGGGAATTACCAGGTTGTACTCAAGACTTACCTCTGTCTCTGTGCTCAGGAATCACTCCTGGCAGTGCACTAGGGTCTGTATGGGGTGGCAGAGACTGAAGCAGGGTTGGATACAATGCAAGGCAAGTGCCTAACCCACTATATACTATGGTTCTGTCCCCTTAAACCACATTTCTAAATCTAATATGCCAGATTTCAATGAGTTACAATAGCCATTAAAGATAACTTTTGGCACTCTTATCAGTTCTGTAAGAGAAATGAGCTTTTCTTTACTAAGTAAACTATTTCTAGCCCAAATGTGTCACTTCTCTATCTTTATTAGTCACATATTTATGAAATGCTGGTATAATATTTGAAATGATGAACTTGACAGAAATATGTAAAGACTTAAACATCAAAGTTTAAAAAGCATGAAAAGTAGTAAAATTTTATTTCCAACTGATTCCTAGCCCAAATGTCATATCAGAATGTCACTGGAAGACTGTACACTTTTGTAACTCTTGCGACTCAAAGCTCAAGTTTCCATGTTTATTTCACTGACATCTTCTGCACAGAGGTAATAACACCAACAGTATGATGTCAAAGATAGCTATCAGCACAAACTCTTAAGTAAAGCACTTTTATGATTAAAAAAAAACATACAAAAACATCAGAATCTGTTTTTGGCCTCAAGTATAATATAAAGTTTCTTGATGGTTAATGAGCTGGAGAACAACTAGAATAAGATCAGCCTGATTTGTTAGCTACTGAACAAATTTCAGAATGGTTAGCAACTGAAATGATCATGGAACACATGATCAATCTGTGTACTTTCCAATTTCATATCAAAATAACTACACAAATTTCAGACCTTTATGAAGGAGATAATATATGTATCAACACTAGTTTGTTTCTGCAACTATAGCTTTTTCTACTGCTTTGCACAATTAAAATTTCATGTCAAAAAAGAAAAAAAAGTATGTCCTTAAATACAAGAAATATAATCCACATTAAAAATAATACAATCAGTAGCCAATTAAATAACATAGGATTAAGGCCCTTGCCTTCCATACAGCCAAAAGGGTTAGAATCTCCAGCACCACAGAAGGAACCCCCAAGCATGGCCAGGGGTCACTCCTGAGCACAGTAAGGAACAGTCGCAGAGCACGGCTGGGTGTGGCCAAACACCAGCACCCACACTTAAACGTGATGAAACAAAAACAAAATTAATAAAACAACTTAAATTTTAAATACTGTACTCTGATTTTTTAAAACACACACACACACACACACACACACACACAAACACAAAGACTGGAGAGAGAGTACACTGGGTAGGGCACTTGCTTGGGCTGACCCAAGTTCAATATCCAGCACCCCATATGTTACCGTGATCCATGGCAGGAATGATCCCTGAGTACAGAGTCAGGAGTAAGACCTTAATGCAGCTGGGTGGGCCCCAAGTCAAAATCAACCAACCAAAAAAAAAAAAATTTTTTTTAATTACAGCTTTTGGACTGGGCATGTAGTACGGTAGTAGAATGCATGCTTCGCATGTGTGAGATTTTGGATTCAATCCTTGGCAAACCTTTCCAATAACCACCCCCCCCCCCAAAGAAAAACAGAAGAATTCTTCCAAATTTTTCTTTGGGTTATGTCAAGTTTATAGAATCAAGTATACAATCTACTCCAGATATCAATATAAAAGTACAATATAAAAGTACAAACTTCAAATTTTACTAGATCAGCGATTCCAAAGGGTAATGGTTCCAATATTAGACACTAGGTCATATATAAGAGAAATATTCCAGAAATATGAGAAGAAACAAGCCACATTTCAAATAATCTATGTACGATTTAGTCCTCCAGAACAATCTTTTAAAAGTTATGCAGCTGACTCAGATTTCATACCTAGCATCCCTGTGAGGTCCCCTGAACCCAAGTGATTCTGAGTTGAAAGAGAGCATGATTACACCATGAGCACAGCTGAGTATGGCCCCAAAACTCAACAAATAAGGCATAGGTCAGACTTCAACCTCAATTCCTGAAAGGGTGATTTTAAGATGAGACTCCTACTTCTCCCCCTGCACCGCATGACTCTATTTTATTTATTTTACTTACTTATTTTACTCGTGAATCTGTACTCAGGGATCATTCCTAGCTCATATGGAAGACCATATGTGGTGCCAGGAATCAAAGTTGGGTCAGCTCAGTGGTCTATCACTGTACTATCTCTCTGACACAAACTCCACTTTTACAGGTGACAAAACTAAGGCACAGAATTCAATTCACATGGTCACATGTACACAAAGTACACATCAAACTTAAAAGCATAATTGACATATAGTAGGCATTAAGTTCTATTCCATTCATCCATACATGGTATTATGCAACCAATATCATGATAAGTTATGAGGTCAGTACTCTAATTATCTGTACCTAACAAATGAAGTACTGAAGGCACAAAAACTGACCTGTTTGAGGTCAAATTATAACAATTTGCTTTAGGTTACATGGCATACCAGGACTTAAATAAGTCAGTCGAACTTCAGAGTTCATTCTCCCAAACAATATTCTCTACTGCTTAATATTCCTGTGGATTTATATCAGAGAGGAACACATTTTAATCTGAAGTCTGATGAAGGAACTGCAGTGCCCTTGATGTTCCCTAGGCTTGCTTGCCTGTGCAACCTCACTCCCACTACTTTGACTAACTGGATATTGACCTTCTCACATTTCATTTCCACCAAGATTCCATAACACTGATTCAAACAGATGTAACACACTTTAAAGAAACTTGAGAAACAACATAAGTTCTTGAATCAAATTCTGAATCTAATTTTAAATTCCAGTGTCTAGTAATACCTACTAGAAAATCATGTTATTGTAATCCAACAAATAAAATGAAAAGAGAGGTTAGGCACTTTAAATGAGAATAAAAAACCATATTTCCCCCTACATGATTAAAAGCAAAGATATGAATATATCTGAGGCACAGTACAACTCAACTGCTAAAACAAAATCAGAAAAAAAGACAGTAAAGGAAAAGTAATCAGGCTTATGCTAAGTAAACTTCCAGAGGAGTTAGTCCTGCCAACACTGACAAATTCTAGCTTACTACAAAGCTGACCGCCATTTCAAACAGTGGCCCAAAGAGTTTTCAACTATACAGAGATCTTTGGTTTTTCATGAACTGCACCCTCAATCTATGACCATTAGTGAATAAAGGGACATTTGTGTGACAGAAATTTTAGCAAACATATCTGTTTCCCAAAGCAACAATCATCTAATTTTTAAAAAGTGCCCCAAGACTCCACCTTCAGAACATTTTCATTCACTAGGAGTGCAGATTTGTTTTCAGAGAATATGGAAACAAGGGAGATAGATTTGAGCCTGCCTGTAAAAGAAATGGGGCAATCAATACTGAGAACTTTTAAACACTAACTTCACCAAATTTGCTGAGGGGCTTATGATCTCATCACAACTCAAAACAACAACCATCAAAGGACATTTCCTTTCTTCACAATGTCTCCAAATGAAAAATGGCAGAAGAAATGTGTTTTGATTAATTTCCATTCTGAACAGATTTTTTTAAAAAAAAAGAGTTCCTCTAAATATTAACAGAGATCCTCTAAAGCTACACTATTGAATACTATGTTCCCAGTTAACACGGAACCCCCATAGCCACTGGTAGTTTCATACAGCTGGATGAATCTGTCAGACAGTTCCTTTGGATCTCTGTAGGCGGGAGGTAGCTGTCACATGCCTAACTCATCAGTGTCTATAAAGATGCAGTATGTAATTACTTAACACCATTTCATGCCTTAGCACCCTTATCCACAAGAAGCAGTGGCAACCATATATTTAAAACAGACCTTTCAATTTGTTGAAGCATTTTCAAATATAATCTTTCTATGGTCTGCAAAGTCATTACGTCAGTTCACAACTGCAAGCAGAATTAGCAATGAATAACAGCAGACCAGTTATTATATGTAAATTCTTACCTTTAAAGTTTTATAGTAAATGGCCCTGTTGATTTCCAGTGGAAACAGATTTTGTTCTTCTCCTGAGCAAGCCCAGTTCACATATCGCAGCCAGTTCCCCTTCTCTGGATCAGTGGCATCAATGCACATCCATCCCAAATTTGGGTAATATACCTTGGGAGGGGGGGAAAGCACCTTTATTAAAAGAGGAACATCTTTTAAATGTTTCTATTTTCAACTTTTCAAGCAATTATTTTCAAGCATTGTTAAACATTTAACGAAAACTAAAAGTGGTAAAGATGTAAGAGGCCCAGGGAAGTACTACAGCGGCCAACAAGGCACTTGCCTTTCACATGGCTAACCCAGGTTCAATCTCCAACACCCCATATGGTCCTATAAGCATCATCACGAGTGATCCCTGAGCACAGAGGAAGGAGTAAGCCCTGAACAACTCTGGTTGTAGCCCCAAACCAATAAACAAAAAAAGTAAGATGAAGAGGAGATTCAAAAACAAATAATTCTCATTGATTACTTTTCTTATTTGGTCTGTCTAGTCATGTTTTTCTCCTAAAGTTTCTCCTATGTTTTCAAATACACTGATAAAGCCAAGTGTGTTAACTCTTTTCTCTGTTAAGCATGACTTAAGAGACAATGCCTGTGAGGTTACTGTTGCATTCTGCAGTATCAAATGCCCATGCTTTCTCAGTTGTTCTGGAAGCAAGGGGTCCAGTACTTCTGGATGCCACAGTTTAGTAGCACTGGCAAGAAACCCCCACAAGAAGGACAGAACATGAATCTTTTGCAAATTTAGCTAATCCAGAAAACTTCTAGCCAGAATATGTATCAGGCTTAAGGTACTATGGAACATAATCTGAGAAGCATCAGTGCCTCTCCAAAAAAGAACTTAAAACCCAATGCCACCTTTCACCAGTCAGATCCAGCCTACTCTTGCAAACTTTTTCTGATCATCCACTCTCAAAAAATTCTGCCTCTTTCAAAGATACTTCTGGCACTTATTCATCATTCTACTATTAAAAAACTCTCTCTCTCTCTCTCTCTCTCTCTCATTTGTTTTATTTACCCAAAACTAGACTGCAAAACACTTGATTAGGGCACAAATCAAATGAAGAATCAATTGTTGACCCAACTGTCAAAGAGAATACCAAACAAACAAAAATAAACCAAGTTTCCTATTTTCTCTTTTAGAAGAAAGGCAACCATCTGAATGCTTCCATTTTCCCCACCCATACACTGTCAACACTCCCACCATTCATCTTTTGTTCCTGGCCCCTTTTAACCACTCCTCAGGACTGCAGTGTACATTATGGAACACAAATCCCCACTCTTCTAACCATGACCACATCTTTAAGTCTGTGTCTGCCAGTGAGTAGCTTCTGCCTTTACAGGCACCAGCAGCACATTCCTCCCTTTGGGAGTCAGATATCAGGCATATATACTTTTGGCCTTTCATAGTCCTCAAATAACCATACTTTGGGACTTCTATATTACCACATGTAACCCTATGCAGGAGGCTCATTATTATCTTTTGGACACATGGAAATTATAGCTAAAAAGTGAAATAATTTTCAACTACTTGTAAAGATGGAGACAGACCTGCCCGAAATCTACAGTCGGTGCCTTCCTTGGCTATTCTAGCTAAAGTTTCAAAATCTTCTCTTCCCATAATCATTCCAGGACTGCCACCTGTTCTCACCCCCTTTCATGATTTTTCTTCAAAGCACTTGTATTCTTTTCTGAGTCTGAGATCATCTAATTACTTGCTTAGTTTGGTTAGTGATTCTCTCCCAAGTAGCAGTTCTATAAGAAGACATTTCCATTCACTGCAGTGTCTCAACTGCAGGGTCTGGCAAAAGGTTCCCGATAAATAACTATGAAATGAATCAAAGGATGTCATTATACATGAATGTGTAACTGCCATTACTTAATCAGAACCTACTATGTGACAGCTACTGGTCTACAGGGTGCTTTGCAATTACTTTACATAATCTTTCTATGTACCAAGGAAAATATTTTCATAATCACAAGTACTCCCAATGAGTGTATTCAAAACTTTGTTTATTAAAATATCTACTGCACCAATTTAAATTCCTCCTCTAAAAGAAGAAAAGTTCCTGCCATAGAGGTAGGCGGAGATGGGGAGGAAGGGAGGGAAACTTGGAACACTGGTGCTGGGATATGTACACTGGTGAAGGGACAGGTGTTGGAACATTATATGACTGAAACCCAGTCATGAACAACTTTGTAATTGTATCTCCACTGTAATTTAATAAAAATGAGTACATAAAATGTCAAACTCAAAAAGTATGACTTCATTACTGAAAAAAGATTCCTCCTCTAACTACTATATAGTCTCAGCTCTCACACATTAACACACACACCTTCCCTTTTAAAACAAAGAAAATGTGAAGTCCCCAAATGCTGTGTTGTGAAGAGATAGCATAACAATGCATAATTCTAATTATGCTAAATAATAAGTTGCTTCACTTTAAAATGTTGACCTCTACTAGCATTGACAGAATGACAAAAAGAAAAAAAAAACCCAAGTAGAAGAACTTTAATGTCAATTCCCATTAGTTATTTTTAGTAAGTTAGGGATAAAAAGTTGTGTTTTGAAATTTTTTTGTTATTTTTGCAGTAGACAACAGAGTTCCATTCCCTCCTGCCCCAGCATAGGGACACGCCTACAGACATTAAGAGGGATGCAGACACAAACATAGAGATGGTGCCAGAAAAACCCACGCAGTTGGTAAGAGCCACCAAAAACATAATAGCCACCTGCCTCAGAATAACAATGCCGGATGTGCCAGAATTTCCTGGCTCCCAGGTCAATACAGACCTCTGCAAAGGGTGTATATGTTCATTTCATTTCAAAAAGTACTAAGACATCTGCTAAGTTATACCAAATGATAAACAGCAAGAAAAAGTTGTAGGGAAAGATGAGCACTTCTTTTTTAATGTGTGAGCAAATAAATGGTGATAGGAATAGAAAGGAGGTTGACCTTAGATAACCTAAGGAAGACTAGGAATGGGAGTAGGGGTTTTCGTGAGAGAAAAAAACAGAAAGGTAAATTGAGAACTTTCCATTCTAGAAATATAACATAGTTCTAGAACTATAACATAGAACTATAACATAGTTCAGTCTCCTGCTTCCTACCACCCCCTATCTGTATATCTTATTTTGATAGAGGAGTAAATGTTGGAGCGGGGTTTGAATTCTGGCTCTTTTAGTAACTTCAGTACTCTAATAAAATCATCAACATTCTGTGTTTTTCTTTTCATTTCTAATAATATTTCACTGAGTTCTAGTTCTTGTAAAAGTTAAATAAGATGTTGCATAAATCATCTAGCTCTGATGTAAAGGGACTTCTTTTCCTTTAGTTTTTTTTTCTCCAAATATAAAATTTCCATTTGAAAATTAAATTGAAAAATCTGTCTTTTTCAAAGAGTGCACAATCTACGATTGAATCAGAAAAATATATTGATTATATGGAAAATTTTCTTTTGGGGATCAAGTTGAGTATTTCCTTGTCTTTAAACAGATTTAGAAATTAATTTTTATATATTACTTTTAGAATTTGAGTTAGGAAGGAAATTTTATTTGCCTTGCATATGTTTCATCCAAAAAAGTAAATATTAGTCGTCACTATGGTCAGCTTTGTTTTGGTAATGTCTGGTCTTTACTTTCTATTTCTAATGTTTTTTTTTCCTTTAAAAACTAACTTACCAGTTCAATAGGTGAAAATTATTTTAATTGGAAGTTAGTTTTGATAGTTAGGTAAATTTAGTTGTCTGGGTATTTTTCACAAGATTTTCACCATTTATTTGCTCACACATTAAAAAAGAAGTGCTCATCTTTCCCTACAACTTTTTTCTTGCTGTGTATCATTTGGTATAACTTAGCAGATGTCTTAGTACTTTTTGAAATGAAATGAACATATACACCCTTTGCAGAGGTGAGTATTAAAACTATCTGTTCAACAAAATACAGTTTTATTACCCTAACCAGTTTCCAGCAGATTTAGGCATTATGAAATCATTATAAAATAATCTGAACCAAGACATAGTGCATATGCCAATTTAAATACACTTTCACAATTAAGTTCTCACAACATGGAAAGTTTTGCAAAGAAAAAAATATCAAATTTTCAAACTTATCTTAGAGGTTCAAGTTAAAGATTTTAACCTAAGCTTCCTTATCATTTTTTAGTTATACTATAAAGGTCGGCCTTCAAATTCTGTTAAAACCTATTCTCATTCAATTACTGCAACTGTAGAACTGCTCAAATGATCAATGTTTATTTATTCACTCTCAACTTGCAATAACCAACTTTGACAAAAATTATTTCCGGTAACTAAAGTGCGTCAGCAGTTAACAATTCCTCATGCTGTAACAACACTTATGTTGAATTTTAAGTCTCTTATGAAACCAAACCAGCTCCCCAAAGTTAAGAGCCTACACTAATAAAATTATTTCCATGTGAATTTCCCTCTCCAACCACAAGTGACTTAAGATCTAAGGTTTTAATAATGGAGACCCTAGTCCTACTTCTTTGGACCCAAGTCATAGTATCCAAGGTCCCTTTCCATCTTTATTTCTCTAAGGATCTAGTTTGTTAAATTTCCAACATTATGATTTATATAACATTTCCCACTCTCCCTGTCTGCTCCTGTTTATACTGAGAAAGGAGCAAAGAGGCAACAGGAAGTTCATAGCTCCTCCAGCCCAACTAAATAGGATTTATTTCCAATACATTCCCATAATTAAATACTAACTCTGGAAGCTTTCAGAAATCAATTCCAGGATTTTCTCCACTGTAGTACCCTAATTTTGGGGTCCAAAAGGCCCTCCCGTTGATCGTCGATTTGCTCGAGCGGGCCCAGTAACATCTCCATTGGAGACTTTGTTGTTACTGTGTCTGGCATATCGAATACTCTCGGTAGCTTGCCGGGCTCTCCAAAACACAGTCCATATTCTCTAACACTAGAGGGGAGAAAATAAAATATATTTTCATAATCTTTTCAAACGTATAGTCACAGAACATTGATGAGTACTGACGGCAGGTTCTTCAGGTGTTCAGGTCTGACCTTGTCTGGGCCGGGTGCTGTTTGTTTCTTTACCGACGAAATGGCGTGTCGGATTTCGGAGGGGAGAA